TTTGGTCAGTTAACTTATTAACTTAATATATGACTGTTTTCCTGTGTTCTATAACTTTTATATATAATATTGGCATCTGATTTGTTTAAAAAAATTATCATAGTAATCTTAGTAAAATGTTTTTACTTGACGATCGTCATAATCGTCATCGTAAAAATATGGTGAATTTAGTAAATTAGTCAACTTTCAAACACATTTGTTTTATTCGATTCAAAAAATGTTACTACACATTCTTGAATCACCATCGAATAAAAGATATGTTTGATTAAGCAGGCCATTATATCAAACATATCCAATATGAAGTGCAAAAAACCGCAACAATAGCACCATCGGATTCGAACCCGCTGCGATGTGCGAGGTGCGAGAGAAATCTGAGCTCCAGATGTGGAACGGAGCGCGGCTGTCGCGGAACCACGCGCCTACCCTGTGTCCATTGTTATACGGCACGGCAAATCACAGCAGAAGGAAAGAAGCCTCTCTAAGTGCAGAATGGGTCGGTTCATTTGTTTTTTTTTTATTTCAATAATTTATTCGTTTTTTGCTACATAGTTTATTGGTTTCATCTAATTAATAGTTCAGTTAATACGATTCTGGTAATAAGAATAGGAAAAGAATCAAGACTATCACTTGAGTTTTTAAGTTACAAATGAAATAGGACAGAATCGTTGGAATATTACGAGAATAATTATTTGGCTCTATTGACCCATGTCTATTAAATTAATTAATTAAGCCATAACTTCTAACTCCTAGCTTACTACAGCTTTAAGTAATGACGTGACGGATTTGCGAATGGAGCCAATCGCCCCAGTGCGCCACAAAGCAGGTGTTGCGGAGAGCGCGAGCACGCCATCGAGCGTTGACACCGCTACCACTACTTGCCACGGACACAACACGACATGACACCGACATCGGAACGTCACCGATACGACACGACACGTAATACATGCACAGTTATCTTAGAGATGGCTAAGAAATAATCTTGAAGTAGATTAGTTACGTCCGATTAATGAATCATGAAAATCTGTAAACCTTAACCATTTAATTAAGAAAATACTGCTATTCTTATTATCTTACTATGTAACTAATATTATAAATGCGAATGTTTGGATGTTTGTTTGTTACAAGGTCTCTCCAGAACGGTGTATGAATCTTTATAAAATAAGTATACATGTAGAACATAGTTAACAAAAACACATAGGCTACTTACTAAGTTTTTATTTTTAATTCCGGGCGAGCGTAGTCGCTGGCAAAAGCTATATTTGTTATATTTATATATTATTATACATATATTATATGAAAGTATGCTTATCACTTTATTTATATTAATTATTATTAATTTATTCAATAGAAAAGTTTTTATGATTTAGCAAAGCTTATTTTATATGCATGATATTTGCACAAATAAATTTTACATAAACATTACGAGACGACATATTCCTTGAGCACACATTATCAACATTTCACCGTCAATATTACGAAACGTCAATTGACACTAGCTTTATGTTTATTATCATTTATCAAATGGTTCCGGATTTCTCTGCGACACTCTAATCAGTTGCTGACAACTTTCTTCATCTCAGTGAAAGTGGTCACCGTTGTCTGTCGTAGCCAATGTGGTCTGCGGTTGTCGGCACTGACCAACCGGTCGTCGTGGACTTAGATGTTTTATGACTAACTTTGAACTTTAACTTTTTACTTACAGCTTGATTGTGGGATATAAAATAGAAAACTCTTTGTTAACTTATGTTAAGAAATCTTTGGGCGATTCTTACTAAAGAATTAGTTATTTTACTTCTACAAATATTAATCGATCATAAGATTATTTAATTACTTTCTATGAGAAGGAATACAAAAATAAATCAATTGCCTTCTAAAAATAAAGGTGCCAGCTGAACACCAGCGAACAGATCAGTCTGTCCCTGTTCGTTGTGCTAGCTTACTTTTGCTACGCTATTATAGTAAATTTATGTCTTACATGTGTGTTATGTTCGATGTGTGGAAATAATTGCTTTTCTTCCTTTCTATTTTTTATATCGATAATTGGGATCGATAGTAAAAACATCACTATTATATAGTTTGATGATACCCATAAACACTATATAATTAGTATAGTGCTATAAACACAGAATACGAGATAACATCAACAATACGACATTGTAAAATAAGTTGAAGTGATCGTAAATCAAGTATGTGCGAGTTTCACAACAACGCGCGGCATTTGCTTACATCGAAGTGACTTTCCATTCATTAATCTGGCGACAGTCATCACAAAGTCGCCGGCAAACTGTATAATAAATATCTAGCAAATAAGTTACTATGATTAAGTACAATTTATATGGTAAACATTTATAATACAGTAGCTCTCACCCGAGACTCTATCCTCTATATAAATCTAAAAATGTTACGAGTATCTCGACATCTAAATTACAATAAATTTTAAAACATTTCTACTCAAACATCTTTCTATGTTAACGAAAATAATGTTAGGTTTGAGATTAAACTCACCCTCACACTCAAAACTCACTCACTGAGCGACGGGTCGCGTCCGAGAAATAATACCTGTACCACTCATCCTGATGAAGGGCTTCCAATCGTCTCGAAACTAGTCGGTGCCGCCACCGGACGAATATACGTGAATGTTTAGCCGTTTTTATATATCAGGTTTGAGGTTCTTTTCCGATCTAATAATTGTGTAGACTTTATTATTAAATACTATTGCTTTTGAATATAAGTATTCTATACATAAAAATAAAAAACAGTACGTGATACTTTTCGACCTTGATGCTTGAACTTGGTGTATATTTTAACGACCGAGACATTTGGCGTACTGCCATCTGTGCCATTGTGAGATAAACATTGCTAGGTAATAAGAGAACTGTTTTGATTCTGTGCTAAGTTCAATATAGTACGACATACTTATCTGGTCCGGTAAAGCGATGATTCTTATCTGAATATGACAAAATAGCTACAGTATTATACGACAAGAATGTTGCTACAATTATTTGACATTGTCGTGGGAGCGTTGGTGAGCAGTCAAAATTTAGTTTCGACTTATACCCACCGGGTCAAATAATTTTGTTGGTCTATGTCTTCGTCAAATTGTCAACATTGTTTGCTTGTAACCAGCCTTACATGGTGACATATCGTAGCTAAAATTTGACACGCAAATTATGTTAGTTAATTGAAATACTAATTCTCGCTTCTATTATTAATAAAAACACAATTTCTAGAAAGTGAGATAAATTTCCATTTCTTGAACAAATAAAATCTCTTAATATAACACATTAGTTGTACAAATAACACGATATTTAATTTAAGTACATACAGTAAAGCACACAAGTTTCTCGTCGCTTTTACGCGGAGACTCCACTGACCTACAGAGATTATCGCCGAGTGAAAACATAGGGAGAGAAATTCATCCCATCGTTAAAGATGTCCACGCGTTGACAAAAATCAATAATTGAGTTTTCTCGAACACTTAATACTTAAAATTATACGGCAATATATTTTAAAGATAAGCGTATTGTTTTTTATTTTCTTTTGAAGAAATCTTTACGTTACGATGTTTAGGATTGGACTAAAAATATATTTTATTAAACTGTGGAACACATAAATAAGATGTTTTTTTTATAACAGAAGGGGGCAAACGAACACCGGGAACACCGAGGTGTTCAACGACGCCCATGTACATCAGCAATACCAGAGGAACCGCAGATGCGTTGCCGGCCTTTTAGGTGGTGATAAGCTCGCTTCTTGAAGGACCCTAAGTCGTAGCGGTTTGGAAATACCGCCGAGGACAGACCATTCCACAACGCTGCTGTGCGAGGCAGGAAGTTTCGCGCAAACCGCACGGTTGTGGATAGCCAGCCATCGAGATGGTGTGGATGGAACCTGGCGGTCTGTAGTGTCGTCCGATGACGGAACTTGGCGGCAGGGATCGTTCCAAACAATTCAAAATGGTTAATGTTATAGTGTCGGTTTCCACTGACTTATCTCTCTTGAAATAGTAGTGATAACTATGTTTTAGTATAATATAAATACAGTCTGTTATTCTACGACTAAAAAATGTTGATACAAAATGATTTAAAAGTGAAACACACGTGTTAATAGTTTACAATATAGCGGATATCTAGTCAAAATATAAACTAAAGTGAATATATTATGTCTAAGAAGAATATTTTCCCAAAATAATATTTATATAGATATATAATACAGATGAAAGACTTAACAATGACTGTTTGATATAAACTATGTGGGGGATTGTTTATATATATATATATATATATATATATATATATATATATATATATATATATATATATATATATATATATATATATATATATATATATTTGTATTAATATTACATATGCAACGAAAACTTGGTATCCCTTCAACACAAGATGTTAATGTTAAGAAAAACTGCATAAAGTCATTTTCATTAAAAATGGATTTTGAATTATGGTCGTAAATTTTCATTTTTGGATCGATATTTAAAAAAAATCGTTCATGTTATTGTAAAAAAGCGGTTGCCCAGGACTTCGTCCGCGAATAATTATAAAAAAGAGCCTATAATATACCCGCGTGAATCAGCTACCATTCTGTCCAAGTCCCGTCAAAATCGGTCAACCCGTGCCGGAGATTACCCGGGACAAGGGTGGTCTTGCGGACAGACAGACAAAAATTTTAAAAATTGACAATCATCTGCTCAAATAAATTACATGTACGAAATATGATTTTTTTACAATATTACAAACACTCCAGTTTTTTTTATATGTGATATGATCTATTTATTTTTTGAAGAAAAATCTACAAGTAAAGGTACGTCTTTACATATGTAAACTTAACAAAGTTTTCACATAGTAAGAGCAAGCTTAAATTATTTCTAGCTGGCTACTTTACTTCGATGCATGTACTTACATCCGATATTTAATAACTGTCGACATTAAATTCCAATTAAAAAAATAACTTAAACTAATAATTTTAAATAAAAAACTCACCTTTTTTGCGACCACTATTATCACTTAAAAAAAATCCTTTTTTTTTTAAAACTTCGTCCGCACAAAAAAACGAACCCAAAATTGTTTAACCCTCTGCAGACTGAATCACATTTTCCTTTGTACAAAAATGGTTCATCGTTGCACTATAACCTACTGTCGGTTAACCTGCGTTAACCTGGAGGCTTGACCTTTGGGCACGTGTTACCCCGGGGAGAGACGCGTCTTGACTGACTGTCTTTGTGTCCGACTCTACATTCACCGAGCGCGGCAGGTGGAGGTGTCCACACTAACATTTGTACATACCTTGTCTGTCTGTACTAAGAATTCTGTTATATATATATATTTATATATAAAAATAATTTTGTAAATCAAATTCAAATTCATAATAATTAATATTTTATAAATAAAATCAGATTAAAAATATTATTATGAATTTTACTTTCACGAAAATCTACAAGTTACTACAAGAGCTAAGTGTATAGAAATACTGCTGTCGCCCATGACTTCGTCTGCGCGATATCAAAAAAAACTTAATTAGTATACTGTGTGTTCTTTCCGACTATGTTCCACATCTATGCTAAATTTCCATTTCAAGCAAATATCTGTCCATCCATCCAAATATTCGCATTTATAATATTAATAAGATGATCATGAGTAGGTTAACATGTTTGAACTAAAAGTTTCTCACAGCCGTATCTTTTTTGAAACAAGACACAATTTTTGTTACACTTTCGTGATATTTATCAATACTACATTATTCAAAATTTAGGTAAACTGGGCATTGAACCGCGGACAAGTAATGAGAAAGCACGTACATACATAGGTATATAAATAATTCATAATTTGCAATACGAGGACTAAACAGTACGAGTTCTAATATTTGCATGTTGCAGACAATGCGTTTAGGTTAATTTAAATATTTGCGTAAACTGTACTGAATTATTGCTCAAACGGTTGTCATCATTTACTAATCATAATTTAAATAAATAATATTATATAATCTAAAAATAAATTAATGTGTTCGGAAATAGAAAATCTTAGGTTACTCATAGACGCGACATTTGATATCTCTTAATAATATTTTAAAGACTAAAAATCTTTAATAAAGTGTGTCGGACACCTATATTTGCATAAGTTAGGGCTAAATAGCAATGGTATATTTAAGTTTAAGGTAAGAATTAATCATGAAATAACTGCTAAATAGTATTTAACTAAATAACCATATAGTAGAGTTACATTTAAATTATCCTGATTTATATCCAGAAAGAATTTCCCAAAATTTATTAAAACTTTCGTACAAATTGTGTGACGCAACTTTTCTCCATGTAAAGGAATGGTCATCTGACGAAATCATCCGACCATATATCAATGCATCGGGCTTGCTGTAGACATATTTGTCGCTGTAGGCATATTTCTACATCCGCACATCCGGCAAACTCTATTTCGGACGAGAGGAGAAATTATTGCGCGTCCCCTCCCATGCCCCGCTGGTGGTGTGGTCACTAACACAGCGGGTACTGTCGCATGCATAGTTGTTTTTTCTTTTTCGTGTAAAATGTCTTTATTAAAACTTATTTACAAGTTTAATATACATAAATAATTATCTATTTTAATTTGTAAACAATATAATTGTATATTTTTTATATCGTTAAAAAATTATAAACTTTAGGTGCTCTCCAAATTAAATCCAGTACATAAGTATACGATTTAGGAATAGTTAATATTTTTGCAAGACTATTAAGTCTTATCGCTCGTTCTTTGCGACTGTACCGAAACGTGCTTATAAGTAAATATTGAATGGTCACTTTCTTCGGCGCGCCCTCTCGCGGCCGCTTGCGTAACTCGGCATAACATGACGCGTGTATGTATGAAGCTTGTATGTGTGAAGTTAGTTCATGTTCATGGTCGACGTCTAAACGTATCTGTTCACTAAATACAATCTGTGGAACACCTGCTCAAAAACATATTTTTGTTTCAGTTTTTTCAACTAGAGAAAAAGGGATAGCAATATGTTTTCATATTAGAGCTACATCAGTGGAAACACACAGTAAATATGCTTATATAAAACTCATAAATTATTTATTATTTTCACTGACGCATTTATTTGATGCCATTTACATCAAAAGAACCTTTTTCTTTAAACAAACAGCATTTGCATAATTTTGTTTATATTAAATGAAACAGGATGTCGGTATGTTTGACCATATTCTCTCTCCTCTGCGCTAGTTAGCGAATTAGAACTATTAAGAACTTTCACTAATATAACATTTTGGAATTAATTTTACGACGACGTAAAATGTTAATTCTATCGAAATTTCTTTCTGATACTGACTTTATATGGAACGTTTGCAAAATTTCTTGTTTAAAGTGTTAAATTCCATGAAGATTTTACATTACCACAAGTAAATAGTCAAGTTTATACCTAATAAAATTTCCCTACAAACATACGTTACTTATTTAATTTTTGGTAAAATTACATAACAAAAGTGACAATATCTTCAATTCCTTGTCTTACTCTGACACAAGTATTACAAGAAGAAGATTGTTACGATTCGAATCAGTCAATCATCAACAAATATTTCCCTAACATTGCCTTTAGCTGCGTGTTACGTAAGCGACAACAGAGGCCGCTTTCAAACCCGCGGGCAGATGAAAGTTTACTATTATAACATATTGACAATTTTTATTATAACATAAATCTGTTTCAATAAGCAGTTAACTGTACTATTGAAATTAAAACGAATAAAATCTATTTTCTTATACTGAATAGTGTGACCACTTGATCACATCATCTGATCTATCATGATGAAATTGTTAAAATATTCATTGTTATAAAAAATGTCTATTCAATAGTAAATAGTGACGATAAGTAAATCCGGTCATGTGTTAAAATTGGTATGAGTCATACGCATTTTATTATTATAGAAGCTGTCGCTCGCGACTCCGTTCTCGCGGAATTAAGAAAAGAAATTAGTCGCCTATGCCTAATATCATCGATATCGATACAGCTGTTCTATTATATATATACAAACGATGCAAATCTCAAGATACAAATCTATTCCCATCATGTATAAACTATGACGATAGTTTCTTCATTACAATTTACAATAGACAAGTCTCTTTCTCAACTTGTAGTGTTCACTAAATAATGTATCAGAGTAACTCTCTGCAAGCTGTGTAAGGGCTTTTGTTTCATCATAGTAACTGCTAGCTGATAATACTAAGTGACCGTCGTTATGTAACACATTACCCCATCTTACTGCTGACATGATGATTCTGTAAACATCGTACATTTCCTCGAGGGTTTTATATATCTGTTCTGTGTACCTTCTGTTTCATTTAACTATACTATAGATACTATAAATTTACTAATATTTTTATCTTCTAAATTAGTAAAATTTTATAAATAAATAACCAAATTAACACGAATAAAAACGTTAGATAATATTATATATTTTTAACTTAAAGAAGTTCCTTACAGTCATACGTCAATATTTAACCATGTCTGTTGTTTTGTGATATGTGTAGCACGCAGCATCCTTGCAACGTTGTTATTATGTGTATTCTAAACGGTTACATTTCGTAAGTATATCTCGAACTCAGCCGCCGTGGGAACCGATCTCTTTGGAGAAGGCTCGACCCACTTCTAGCGACTTACGAAACTACCCTTAGAGTGGCATGTTTTCGGACTTTGCAATTTTCAGAATGTTATGTTAACATAGTCTGCTTGTATCTTACAAATATACTCGGTGCTAGAGAGCTTGTGAGTTATAACTCGATATCTGCCTACAATATTCAACTAATTTTCTGAAATGTCTGAGTTCCAAAATTAACATACTCCATGTACCTATAATATATATTCAACAAAAGACGTTAATTAAGGCGCTAACGAGTTTTACCTCAGCGGGACGTGGCCTGCAAATTTGTTTGTAAAAGCGTTGATCATTTTTCCCGTATTTGCAATTTTGTTCTAGCCCACAAAATTTATGCAAGCCGGTCCTGCTCGTAGACCACTCCAGCGCGTAAGCAATTTTAACTGCCATCTACCGTGAATTACCACAAACTTAAAATCATTTTAAAATTCATCTTCTAATATGGGTTTATTCCGCTATCAGGTTTCCTAATGAAATGAGGTACTATTGACTTATTTTTTTTTTATAATTTAAGTTGAACTTAATCTACTGCTACTGCCATCCAACGGCGACTGGCAGAACGATTTTCTGTTGGTGTTTCTGCTATTGCTCGACAGATGGCAGTTATTTTAAATGCATTATTTGACCATAGTGCCATCTAGCGCCGAATAGCAGAAGGATATTTCTGTTGTTGTTTCTACTACTGCTTGATAGATGGCAGTTCCATTAAATGGTTTATTAACTATAGTGCCACCTAGCGTGGGATAGCAGAATGATTTTTCTGTTGGTGTTTCTGCTATTGCTTATTAGATGGCAGTTAAGTTAAATTATTTTATTTAACTACAGCGCCATCTAGAGAGGAATAGTAGAATAAATGTTGTGTAGGTGTTTCTGCTACTGCTTAATAGATGGCGGTTAAATGCAAATACACGATTTAACCATTGTAGAACCTATCGAAGAATTTTGGAATTTTTGCCAATTGTTTATAAAAATACGTGTTTTCAATAAATTACAATATAATTTAAAAGATTGTATTTGTGTTTTACGCCATCTACTGATGAATTTCAGATTTATGGAAAAAAAACATTTTTGTCTACTTATACGCCTTAGATGGCGTAACGAACAAAACTAAATATTTTTCAAGAACATTGTTATACATGGCGTCAAAAATTATGCATTAAAAATTATTTTGAGAAGATATTAAAATAACATTATTTTAAATTCAATGGCAAAGATTTTAGGTAGATGTGGTCATCGTGCTTTTTTTGACAGTGAAAGAAATTTATTAATTTTATTAAAGTAAGTTATTACTTATTTAAATTTATAGTTATAACAACATCACGTTCCTAACCCGGAACGGCGGTAGGCAGTGACTATGAATTTCCATGTAGATGCACAACTCTCGCTTCTAGAGCCGTATATTTACGCTCGTCATCTCGTTCTCTCGCATGTAGTTAGTACAGGTTAAATAATTCCTATAAATTGTTGTATTTAGTAGTATAAGATGGATAGTGAGTGTGTATACATGTTCCATTAGGCTACATCAGAGACGTCGTGTACAGAGCAATGACGACAC